TTGATAAATGCTGAGCATGTTGTTCCCCTTTGTTTTTCTATCTCCAGCTTTTTGCACATGTCATCATAATACTTTACTTTGTCTTCTTTAGCCACCCTTTGAAATCTTCTGCTCAGTTCTTTGACTTCATAATTTCTTCCTTTTGCTATAGCTACTTGACATTCAAGAGCAAGTTTCAGAGTCTCTTCTGACATCCATTTTGCTCCTTCTTTCCTGTCTTTTTAACGACTTCTTGCTGTCTTCATGTATGATGTCCTTGATGTCATTCCACTACTCGTCTGGTGTTCCATCATTAGCGTTCAGTGTATCAAATCTATTCTTAAGATGTTCTCTAAATTCAGGTGGTCTGTACTAAAGGTCATGCTTTGGCTCTCATGGACTTGTTCTAATTGTCTTTAGTTTCAACTTGAACTTTCATATGAGCAGTTGATGGTTTGTTCCATAGTTGGCCCCTGGCCTTGTTCTGACTGATGATATTGAGCTTTTCTATTATCTCTTTCCACAGATGTAGTCGATTTGATTCTTTTGTATTCCGTCTGGCAAGGTCCACGTGTATAATCAGAGGTTAGCCTGTCATAAAACTGGTTAACAAGAATGAATTAATTTCTTTTCTTTTTTCCTTTCCAAGTACAGCATTATAAGGTTTTCTCCTTTTAGAGGATGTATGAGTATGTTGTTTAGAAATGAAAACAGTATTATTATTGTTGTTTTTATTTGTCATATGGAGCCCTGGTGGTGCAATGGTTAAGAGCTTGGCTGCTAATCAAAAGATTGGCGGTTTGAATCCACCAGCTGCTCCTTGGAAACCCTATAGGGCAGTTCTTCTCTGTCCTATAGGATTGCTATGAGTTGGTACTGATTCAAAGGTAACAGATTTTGTTTTGGGTTTATATTTGTCATATTGTAAATTCATTTTGGATGCTACACTTGAGTAACTTTTTGATCATGTTGCCTTATGCTGAAATAGTTACTTTAGATTTTTTATAGCTTGTTTTATTCATTATTTAGCATTTATCCATTAATATTTATTTTCTTCAGTTGTTTAAAAGTAACATAGTGGTCTCATTCTTCCAAATCTTTCATTCTAATATTTTCAGAACCAGTGAATTCAAATTTATACATTAGATTGAACCATGTGAAATAAATTAAAGATGACATTTTTGACCTTCAAAAACAGCAATTTCATATGGTTCAATCAAATAGATAGCAAATGCTTGTGCCTAATTAAAACGGTTTTTTAGATTGAACTAAATGGTTCCCTGGCAATTTTAGAAACTTATTTCATGTATCTGTTTTTTTAATTAATGTTTTATTGTGCCCTCCCCGCAAGGAGTCAGAGAATTAAGTATGTAACATCCAGATAATGTGACTTAGGCCTAGAGTTTCTAACCAACATGCAGTAATATCAACTGTATTGAAACATGAGGCTTATATAACCAAATTTTTTAGAGATGCCGTATGACATGAGGAAAACAAAACAAAAAACACTATGTGTATGTATGGTAACTTTTTAAAATCACAATATACAAAATATAAAGGGGTAAGGGAAATCATATATACATAACCTGTATGTGGGGCCCTTGTGGTGTAGTCGTTAAGAGCTGAAGCTGCTAACCAAAAGGTTGGCAGTTGGAATCCACCATCCACTCCTTGGAAACCCGATGGGACAGTTCTGCTCTGTCCTACAGGATTGCTATGAGTCGGAATCAACTAGACAGCAACGGGTTTGTTTTTTTTTTTTTTTTAACATGTATTCAAATAAAAACGGGAATCATATTTATATGAATGATACCATAGGGAAAAAGTCAGGTGAAATCATTTGAAATGGGAGGATTCTTATGAGATTTATTTCATAATATCTGGTTTATAAAACATATTCATTATAATCTGTGAGATTTGTGATAAAGGTTAGCTGTGTTTCTTGAAAGATAATGCCAAAACAACTCTGATAATAGATATTTAATCATACAGATTCTACCCAAGAGCAAAATCCATCTGCCTTATTGTAGTTGAATTGTAGAAACAATTTCTGGAATGTTGTTTCTAGCTTTATGCACAAATAAATACACATCTCTTTTTTATCATAGATACTACTTCTATCATTTTCTGAGTTTAAGATTAATGAAGTGAAGGGGGACAGTAGTCATCTATATGAACAATTACTAGAACAAAGAAATATATGTAATCTGTTATATTCTTGGATAATGCTTATTTAGGCCAAGTGCACATCTAGAACATAGTAAACATGTAATTAATATTTATTACACGGATAAACAAAAGTTTGCTCCCAAATCCTGGCATATTTTTCCCACCCTTAATCTATTTAAGATCTAAGTACAATGATAGGATGTGATTTTAATATTGATATCATTATCCTTTCAATAGAAAAGCAAAATGTTCTTTTTAATCAAGGAAAACATCTTCTCTAATATTCTACTTGCTTTTGTAATAAGACGTAATTAGCTAGACTGTGTTCTTATATTCAGTGAGTGCTACATGAGTAACAAAAAAATTCACCAAAGTTACTCAACTAGTTTCAGTTTTCCTAGAAATCTGAAGAATAAATAATATATACAAGTAGGAACATATAATGATTTCCAAATCAGATCCTTGGGATGAGGAGAAATAGTGAGATGGAAATACATGATGAGCACTCATGTGAAGAGAGAGTAGACTGATTTTGTATTTTCAAATCTAAGTTGGGAGGTAGAGTTCAGCTCAGTATAAGGATGAACTTTGTAGGAATTAAACTGCCCAATCATGGAAAAAACTTTTTATAAACTTGCCAAGCAGATTCTGAACAGCTATTTTGTCAGGAACATTGCATTGAGAGAGAGATTAGACCAGATGGAATTGTATAGTTACTATCAGCTTTAAAATTCAGTAATTCTAAATTAATTCTCCCATTCTGTGTTTGTTGTTACCACTTGGAAAGCCAGTTGTTACTCTTTCTTATCTTTCTGTTTTCTTTTTGCTGTAGTTCATTCACAAATTGAAAATATTTTGTAAATCTATCAACTTATATAAGGAACCCTGGTGGCACAGTGGTTAAAGTGCTCGGCCATAACTGAAAAGTCAGCAACTCAAACACACTAGCCGCTCCACAGGAGACAGATGTGGCAGTCTGCTTCCGTAAAGATTGGAAACCCTATGGGGCAGTTCTGCTCTGTCCTACAGGATCACTATGAGCTGGAATTGACTTGATGGCAATGGATTTTATCAAGTTATATATTGAAAATTTCTTACTCATGTCTTGTGAAAATTCAGTTTAATTAATCCATCAAGCCTACTGTGTGCCAGATACCATATTTGAGCACTAGGTATATATACCCATAGATGAGTAAACAGAGTCCTGCCTTCAAAGTGTTCATGGTTTAGCTGGAGATGCAGACACGTAAGAAAAAAAAACTATTAAATAGTAGAATGAAGTCGTGAATAGAAGTATGCATACTCTGTAATGAAATCATTAAATGAGCACGCAGGTTATTCTGTTAGTGTTGGAGGCTCATAGAAAGCTAATGAGATGAGGATTCATGTAAACTGATTATTTATGGTAATAAGAAATCACAGCTACCATTTTTGAGCATCAAGTACCATGCTTTTAATGCACCAAGCACTGTGATAGGTGCTTTATATGATTTCATTTTATCCTCCAACACTATTATAAGGGAGATGATATTATCACTTTACAGATAATGAAGTTAAAGTGGAGAGAATCATGACCCAAGATCACACATCTAGAAGGAGGGGCAGAGGAAACAGGACAATGACAACAGAGATTCAAACCAGTGTTTCTCTATGCCCAGGGCTATAAGGAAAATTGATGATTTCTGTGATAATAAAAAACACAGATCCTCTAAGACCAACAGTGAAGGGAGATTTTCCTTATAAACCATTTCTGTTATACTTTACCATTCAGATTTTTTTCCCAGTGACTTTAACTTTCTTCTCAGAGACCCCTTGCTAATACTCCTCCTGCCACCATCATGCTTGATCCAGAGGTTAAAGGAAATAGCTAGCCCTTTAACTGATGGCTGAAGTGTGCCTAGAGATCACTTTGGTATCCCATAAAACACAAAAATTGGGATGTTTAAATAAGATTTCTTTAAAGTAAAAGTAAATAAACAATGAAAATTATATGCAACTAGATAATTCAATTTAGTAACTGTGGCTCACTCTCTTAACAGACCTTATCTCATTGAATGTTTCCTTGTGTCTTAGACTTACTACTCCAAAGGCCAAGGCGAATGAGTCAAAAATAAGTTTACAGGTGTATTGAGTGTTTCCGAACACAAGAAATCCAGTAGGCTGGAGGGTGTGGTTCAGAGTAGAGGAAGAAGGTGAGAATTGTAGGACATGAAGGCAGGAAAGATAGTCTGGGATTGAGCTGTGAGTAAATTCATAAAGTCATGTTGAGGAGTTTAGACCGTATTTAATAGCGACTTTACTTAATAGGCAGTTTGGGCCATGATGGCTTTCAAATAGCATAAATAGCACTGAGCTTTAAGAAGATTGCTATGGAGGCAGTATGGAGAATATATTGAAAGGGGAAGAGACTAGACTCAGCGAGACAAATTAAGACACTGCAGTAATCTCAGTAAATGACCAAGATTAGTGATAGGAAGGAGAGCACTATTTCAAGAGATATTTCACATGTAGAATCAATAGACTTTGTTGATGGACTAGATATGGGAACCGAAGGAAAATGAGGAGACATCAAGGATCTCCAAGAAGTTCTTTGCCTAAACTGTTGGGTAGAAGTTGATATCATCAACTAACTGAAGAAGGCAGCATGAAGAACACTCCTGAGAAGATAATATTGAGGTTACTTTTAGATATGATGAGTGTAGGGTGGTATCTAGATGGAAATGACCCATATGAAGTTCAACCTATGAGTTACCTATAGGAGCTTAGGAGAGATATCATAAAAACAGATAAAAGATTTGGGATTCTGAATATATAGATAGTTGTTGAACACATGGTAGCAATAAGATTACCCATAAAAGATTTTTTATTGAAAAAGAAAGCTGTTGATGTCTGGGGTCTTAAAAGCCTGTGAGCGGCCATCTAAGATACTCCACTGGTCTCACCCCTTCAGGAGCAAGGGAGAGTGAAGAAAACTAAAGACACAAGGGAAAGATTAGTCCAAAGGACTAATGGGCCACAACTACCACGGCCTCCACCAGACTGAGTCCAGTACAATTAGATGGTGCCCGGCTACCACCACTGACTGCTCTGACAGGGATCACAATAGAGGGTTCCGAACAGAGCTGGAGAGCAATGTAGAACAAAATTCTCACTCACAAAAAAAGACCAGACTTACTGGCCTGACAAAGACTAGAGAAATCCTGAGAGTATGGCCCCCAGACACTCTTTTAGCTCAGTAATGAAGTCACTCCTGAAGTTCACCCTTCATCCAAAGATTAGACAGGCCCATAAAACAAAACGAGACTAAAGG